AGAGTATTTTAAGAGCAGCCTTCCAAAATTTCTAGTGAGTGCTGTAATAATTGATTATCTGTATTCATATGGAAACAAATGAGCTGTTTTATGTTATCAAGAAGTTGATGCCCAGTTGGTGAAGGAAGAAACTTGTTGCCACCAAGGAAGGGAGCAGCAGTCCAGCAGGAGACAGTCTTCTCATAGCCTGTTTGAAAAGCCATTAAAATTAGATTTTCCTAATTATACCAGTTAATGGGCAGATGCAAACAAGGTTAACTAAAGGTTTTACAGTGGTTTTAGAGTTAAGGCAGAAAGAATCCTTTTCTTTTGTTGTTTCACTCCCTGTGATAGATAGGATTTATGGAAGATTGACCTGGCCAATGGTGCATACTGTGTTTAGGAGTGCAGTGCATAGTTTCCTTTGTTGCAGAGCATTTTATTTCTCTTAGAACTTTTGTTCAGTTTTGGTCTATGCAGACCAATTTTCCTAAAAAAAGTTCACATTGAAGTTTAGTTCTGAGTGGATGCTTTTGTGCTCTGATTCAGCAATCCAGTGAAAAGTACAAAAGCCTGACATCTCTGAGAGATGGAGGGGAAAACTGTGGCCATGGAGGGGGTTAAGGATCTTCATGGGCAACATGCACTCAGTATAGAGGGCTTTGTAACAAATAATTCTGCAATAGCAAGTCTCTGTTAGTTCAAATGGGAGAGATGAGCAATCACCATTTCTTATTTCAAATTGGAGGGCTAGGCCATAAGAATCATAGGAAGTTTAATAAGGGCAAGTGCCAGATTCTGCACATGGGACCCGGCTACCCTGCTTGTGTAGACTGGGGAATGAGAGGCTGCAGAAAAGCACTGTGGAAAGGGACCTGGGGGTCCTGGTCAGTGACAAGTTGGACATGAGCCAGCAGTGCCCTGGCAGCCAGGAGCTGTGGGGGCATCAGGCACAGCATGGCCAGCTGGGCAAGGGAGGGGATTGTCCTGCTCTGCTCTGCTCTGGGGTGGCCTCACCTCCAGTGCTGGGGGCAGTTCTGGGTGCCACAACATAAAAAAGACATTAAACTATGGGAGTGTCCAAAGGAGGGTAAAGGGTCTGGAGGGGAAGCTGTATGAGGAGTGGCTGAGGTCACTTTGTTCCACCTGGAGAAGAGGAGACTGAGGGGAGACCTCATTGCAGTCTGCAACTTCCTCGTGAGGGGAAGCAGAGGCACAGACGCTGATCTCTTCAGTCTTGTGACTGAAATCAAGAAAAAGGCATGAAGCTGAGTTGGGAGAGGTTTAGGCTGGATACCAGGGAAAGGTGCTGCACCCATAGGGTGGCTGGGGACTGGAACAGGCTCCTCAGGGAAGTGATTGCAGCACTGAGCCTGAGAGAGTTCAAGAAGTTTGAACAGCACACTCAGGCTCATGGTGTGAAACTTGGAGATGGTCCTGTGCAGGGCCAGAGTTGGACTTGATATTCATCATGGGTCTCTTCCAACTCAGCATATTCAGTGATTCTATGGTTTTCTGAATATAGAAACCATAGTGATGATGATGTGACTGTTTCTTGCCAAGATAGTTTGAAATATAATTACTGTATCATTTCATCTATGTGAAGAAAGAGCTACAGCTTTTAAAAGCTTCTTCAAGATTCCCCCTAAGTATGATCCCAATTTTCATTCACACACAGACATCCTGATTTTTTTTCTTAAATGAATTAGCAGAAGAGAAAAAAAAATAGGATAATTCTCAGATACTCTCTCTTTTTGTCTGAAAGCAAGAGCATTCCCAGCAAGGAAGGGACAGAACAAGAATTTTAAAAGCTATGGAAGATTTCAGGTTAGGAGGAGAAGGTGTCAAAGTTAATCAACTGCAAATCACTGTTTAAGAAATTCTTCCTCCCCTGAAGCATCATTGAAGAAGACAAGCTGAGGGCAGACCTAATTCCAGGCAATTTATAGGAATGCCTGAGTACCTTGACCCTCACAATTTGAGCCCTGAATTGTAAATTGTGTATCCAACTACTTGAGTGGAACCCAGAATTTTGAACCTGTGAAAAACCTACTATAAAAATATCCTTTGCAATAGTGCCCTGCAGGGAAATTCACAGAAGTGATTCAGAAAATACAGCTAAGATAAATGCTTTGGGATATTTTCAGACTAGTTGTTATATGAATATTCCTGAACTGCGGAGGTTGTGTAACTTCAGCTTAAGCTCTCTGAATGTGGGACAATCTGGGGACATTTTTTATACAGTTAAAGCTGCAGCATAATTTCCTGAAGGTGAAGGATAAGACTGTGCTCTCAGGATAGATTGTTCTTTTCACAACTGGCAGCCTGTCCTGTTCACAAAGGAGTGCTCTGAGAGCAATCTGTGAGGTGAGGCAAGCAACCTGAACTGGGTGCCAGAACCCAGGAAATGTTCCAGAGCAGAAGGTTTTACACTGGATCTTCTCCTGAACCACAGAGGAAGTGCAAAAAATGGATTGCATGGGACAGAGTGGCTTCCTCAGCACCTGGTGAACAGCCAAGGTCAGCCCATCCCTAAGGATGTGCACTACTCATTCACCTGCTTGGCACAAGGATCTTTTGGGGTCCTTTGTTCCCATAAAAAGGAATTCAGTAAACTTGGAAATGGCCATGGTCATCAATTGCTATTGATTTCTTTTTAACATCACAGGTGGCCTAAAAGTAAGAGGGAAGATTTTGCAGAAAAATATCTTTGCTGATATGCACTGAGAATTTGCAGAAAACTGGTTTCTTTAGTATATACAAAAACCTGTAGGAAGTCAGAGGCAATTTCTGAATTTTGATCTCACTCTCAGATTGGGAGGCCAAATATCAGGACCCACATATTATTTAAGGAATTTGAAGAACCTGTTCTTTAGGAGAAAGCTAACAAAGGTTATTTTCATCATGATGAAAATCTTTTTTCTTTTCTTTTTTCTTTTTTTTTTTTTTTACCCTTAGAAGTGTAAAGTAAGTAGGATAGAATGTAATCATAAGTAACTTCCATTAACATTTGGTAGCAAAGGTTTCCTGTCATTCTTGCTTGGGAGCTGAAATGTTATCCCAATGAAGGTCAGCTGGACAACTTCTGAGGTTTAGAGGCTGTATCAAGCATCTAATACAGGGATCCAGAGTCTATCACAGGCCACAGCAGTGGGGCAATCTTCAAAAGACTAATTGGCTATCAGTCCTGGAGCACTTAATTGCAACCAAGTTACAATTCACAAAACAAGTGAAAATAAGATGGGTAATTAATATCTTGTACTTTTTTTGCTATGAGGAAATAGTATAAAATATCAACTAATCTTAGTCCTGGCCTTGACCTTAATCAAATAATGTTGATATACTTTACAGTTTTGGATTTGTGTAACTGTCATTAAAACTACCTGATGTTACACTCTGATGAGGAAACCATTGATTTTTAGGAAGGCAGGATGCTCCATAGCGAAGAGTCAGTGTAGGGAAGAATGGCTACAGTGAGAGCTTACAGATTTAGCTCAGAAACTTCTAAGATTTCAGCTGTTACATGCAGAAACCTAATTTGGGAAGCTGTGAAGAGTTATTTCAATGTATTTAGCCTGTAGTTTGGACACACAAAAATTTACTGTGAACATTGCAGAGATTAAAAGAGAAGCTTCTCTGTAGGGGCCTCCACAAGCATTCATGCAGTTTAGAAAAGATTGCAGTATTTTGATGATAAAATTGACAATGTGGACTTTCAAACCACATGCTAAGTAAAGTTATCCACAGAAGTTCAAAGGCACAAACTTTGTTAGCCAAACGATTACTTAAAAGCTGCAAAGAAAATGCCTTTATATGTCAATGAGCTTACACACTTTTGTCTCATACAAAACTCATGAAAAATACTCTGTAAAGGAAGTGCATATACTGATAATCCTGCAAAATTCCCCTGGCAAGAGGGTTCATTCATTCATTTGCTTTCCAGAAATCAACTTTACAGGCATTAAACAATCTACCTTTTACAAAATTCCATGGAAACTTACAACATTCTTCCCAATTATGTTTTTGAGCTTCAAACTGATTGAGAGAAAAAATAAATATTGTTGGAGGGAAGAGAAGAAGAATGCTTTTATATATCCAACTGTGCTCAGAATTTGCCATTGTCTCAAAACTGCTCTTTTCAATGCTGCAAGGGATTGAATACCACTAACTTAATTTACTTTGGAAACAAAAAGAAAACGTCTAGAGTTACTTCCTTTATTTTACAAGTCCAGCTATTTCTGGAGAAGATACTTGATAAAGATGCTCTAAATTTTCAGGTCTAACCAGAGAAAGATTTCTAAGGTGGCAAACAGCAGAAGGCAGCAGAGTGGGGTCTGCGGTGTTGTACCAGCTGAGCAGGCATGCCAGGAGATGGCTGCCTGCCATCTTGTGGATCCAGGGAACCTGGATCACCATCTGACCCAACCAAATAGCCTGGATTAAACCCATGGGTTTAATGTTGATGAATGGTGTCAGATTTAGTTCTGCTGTTGAAGATGGATTTGCTGTATTTGAACCCAATTTATGAAAAAAGTACTACTGAGTGTAAGAAGGGCACAAACTGACCTCCCTGCTTTTATGTGGGAGAGCTCCCAAGCACTGCCACCTTCATACCAGCCTTCCAGTGGGAAACCTGGTGGTGGCCATTGCTCTGAAATGTTAATTTCTGCCAAACTGACCAAAGGGTTTTAATTAAGCCAAATGATGTATTCTGGACAACTTTCATTATGAATTTGGTTCTCTTTCTGGTACATTACTTTCTGAATGCTGACACTGATTTTCAGAGAATGTTTTTTTGAGCCATCCCTTCAGCTGATCTCAGTCAACAGAGCTCCTTGAAGTTAATGATGATAAGTTCATATAGATCAGCTGAGGATCTTGACTTAGAATTTCTTTATATGCTACATAACAGTGTAAACACGTTTTTTACTAGGTTGCACATAGGATCCACCTCTGCCAAAGAGGCATTTCTGGAATGTGTTTTACAGTGTTTTATATCCCTGTGTTTTGTTTTTCTCCAGGCTTTTGAAAAAGGAAGAAAATTTTATTTTTATCCCTCGTTCCCGTGAAGAGCTTCCAGAAAACTTTCCAAAGGAAATTCCTGGGATCTGTTACTTCCTGGAGGTTAGAAGTGGTCAGAAGCCGCCAAAACCTTCCATCCCATCTGCCAGAGTGAGAAAGGTGTCTTACAACATCGGCACCATGTTCCTCCGGGAGACCAGCCTATGAGGCCTGCTGCAGATCAAAGACTTGTCAAAAAAGCACAAGCCCAGAACTGGGTCATGACAGGGGAGTTGGAGGTTCTTTGTGTTTCACTGCCTTCTTCTGAACAGGCAGTAAAATGCTCCATGTAATGTCAGGCAATAATCATTTTAAAAGGTGGGTAACTGCTGTCAGTAAACAAAGTGGAGATAGGGAAAAAATACTAAACAATGTACTTCCACTTCCAGAGGAATTTCTTTCATAAACTTCAGTCTGGCCCCTCTATGGCAAACAAAACAACAAAACAAAACCCCAACTCTCAAATTAGAGGTTGGTCTTGTTTTGTGCAGAAAGGATGATGGTTCTCTGTAGATTTGCACCAGCTAAGCAGAATTGAGAGTCAGTTCTGATTATGCATTCCTATATTTAATGTGTTCTTCAGTAAGGTAATGATGTTTTTAAACTTTATGAACAAGCATTTCATACATATACTGTAGAGCTTAACCTTCCTGGCAGGAGGAATTATGACTCAATACAAATATTGTAGGAATTTTACCTATTTTTATACATATTTCACTTTCTGGATAATTACATTCCACATACTGTAAGCTGAGTGAGCTTAGATAGCTTTTCGGAAGAAGTTACTGTATATTTCATACATTCTACCTATCAAACCTTATTGTTATACAAGTGGGAAGAAGGCATTTCTTGACTTTTTTGGCAACAAAAAAAAAAATCAATATTTACAGAATAAAACCCCCACTTTGATAAATCACTTTATCTGGTTTTTATGCTAAAGCTTTAGATGAGCACTTTCTTCTTATATAAAATAATGTTCAGTATTTGTCCTACAGTGTTGTATGTCCAGTCCTTCCAGGACAATGTAAACAAAGTGCAGAAGATCAATGTGTGGACAAACAGAAAAGTTCTCTTCAATGGGACTTGTTTTCCCTCTAAATTATCAGCCAAACTGATTTTCAGTAAAAGCCCTGAACTTCTCTAAAAATTTGGTCTTGTGAAAACTTATTCTGAGGAATTCCAGCAGACACTGGAAGCTCTCTGGATGCTGGTTTTCCACATTTTTTAATAGGACTTGTGCTCCTAGTCCAGATTGATTGTTGAAAATCCATTCTGTTAATAATGATTGCTCATTTGGAAACTTCCTCTATTGTTGGATTGACTGAAGGTCCCCTGCTTTATCTAGTTGAGATAAAAAAAAAACCACCGAAAAGGGAAAGGCAGTACTTTTCCAGGTTTAATGCAAATGGCAGTTCAAGATTTTTGTTAGTCCAAGACAATTAAAAAAAAAAAGAAAACAAAAAAACCCCAAACAAAACCAAAAACAAATACAAGCAAAAAAAATCAAAAAAGACCAATTCTTTGCTGTTGAAAATTAGTACAGTATTATTGTCTTCAGTTAATCCAGTTCAAGCAAGATGTGTATCTGGAACATTTTCAGGCATTTTTTATTTCTCAGGTTTTCTTTTTCACAAGTAGTGGTGGTCAGTTTTCCTGTGTGGGTGTGCTGCCTTTGGATCATGCTGGGGTGGGTGATGTTGTGAGCTTGCAGATTGTTAGTGAAAATCTGTGCTGTGGCTTAGCTGCACGTGGGCCTTTAATCACTTTAATTGAAGATAAGACTCAGCAGCAACTAGGAGGCATAAGATAATCTGCATTTCTCTAATTCAGAACAGAAATGAGTTTGCTTATGGATTTAGTAGTCACAACATGAGGCACCTCTTGAAAATAAGTTAATAACTTTCACCACATTTCAAGAATGTCCAGCTGGATCTTTCTGTGAAGGGAATGACAGTTCTCTATTTCTCCCCTTTGACCAGTAACCCCTGTGAGTCAGCAGGGCACTGCTAGCCTGTGCTGAGAATGTTTCAGGATTCCTTTCCATGAAGCCTCTCTGGATGAGACAGGACTGTCTTGAACCTTCACCGACTTCAGCAGGCAGATGATGTCTGAACTTATTATGTAGGGGTGAGTTCTTCCTTGCCTGAGGAGGGTATTAGCCCAGAAACCTATTTTAATGCAAATTTCCTCACTTTCTAGTGGGATACTGATGTTAGATTTCTTCCATTGGTATTAGAGCATTGCTGGGATTAGAGTTGTTATTTTTTTATCTACCTTGATAAACAGCATATGGAGTTCTGTGGTCTATCTAAAAAATTACTTAAAAAAACTGTTCAAGCTTGAGATTGTGAAATTTCCATCCAAATTGCAGATCTGAGAATTTCCTGCACAGGATGACAAGTTTTAGCCTATAACCATTAGTTTGCACATAGACAGGATGTAGCATTCATTTTTTTACCCTGGGAACACCAGTGAGATGTGTAAGAATCAGAAATGGATCAAAGTTCATGTTTCACCACTGAAAGAGGAATGTCACTTCCCAGCTAATAAATCCATAGTTCTGATGTCATTACTGAGTTCCCTAGAGTGAATTTTTTTCAAGTAACCATTAGTAGATTTAGATTTCAGTCTGACTTCTCTGGCACTTCTTCATTGTTCAGTAGTTGCTGATGTCAGTCTCAACCTATCTGGCCAAGCTCTTTTTCTCTTCTCACCGCCCACACTCCTATGTGAAAAGTACAAATTTAGAGGTTTAGACCAAAAGCTTGTAGTTCAATATCTTGTCTCTTACAGTTGCCAGTAAGAAATGTCTAGGTTAATTCTGCACCTGATCTTCATAACAGAAACATTTTCATAGTAAATGATGGATAAATGCTAGTTTTACTGGCAAATTGGAGAAGCAATCAAAACCAGTTTGTATCACCATCCTCATGCTCTCAGAGACTTTTTGTTGTATAAGGAGATTTAAAATCAGAGAGATCTGTGTGAGAACTGAAAATTGGTATCACCATTGATAGTGTTTGCAAATAAATCATCTAGCTCCCCAAATCAGAGTACACTGACTCTATAAAAATATGCAGTCTTTGTTTTTCATAAGCTTATGTAAAGGTAACATATCTAGAACTGCAGTGCAGATGCTAGGTATTATGCTATTTGTGTTATGATTAGGGATGTTGATGAAAAAAGTGTGGACTCTCTGGGGACATTTTTGTATGTCAGTGTGAGGAAAATGTAAAACAAATTCTCAGCACTTTCAAAAGTAGTAGTTGCATCTGCTGCCTTTCATATTAGGTTGCAAGCTTATTTTGTTGGACACCTTTACAAAGTGAAATGAAACTTATTATCAAGATTGATGCTGTCATGTCAGTTAGGTGGTAGTCAGACTCAACATTTCTCCAACAACACTTACTTTTAGTGATAGGGAAATGGTTCTCATTTTCCTGGTGTTGTCTTTGGAAATAGAAAGGTTCTCAAAATTTTGTACCTTGAGATGATGAGGTGCAGAGGTTAGAGGTGCTGAAATGGTTACAGAAATCATATACTGTTAGTTGGTTACAGAACCAACTTTTTACTTCCTATAAAGCAGATGATCTTTGGTTCCTCTGAGTAAGAATTTACATTCTTGTGCTGCAAGATGTAGCTGCAAGAAGCCACATCTGCTGTCTTGAGTTTCTGTGCAGAACAAATCTACCCTCTCTGAAGAGAGAAGGAGGAGATCTATTTTGTATTGCATGTACAAGGCAAAGGGAAGGTGATATGAGGACCCCTCTAGCTGGGTTCATCAATCTCTTTGTGGCCAGTTGCTTGTACAAAAATCAGGAGGCTACAGTAAAGAGAGTCCACAGTCATTTCCCCAGAACACTTTTTACAGATCTTGTGTGAGATTTTTCCATCTGCTTGAAGCTCCCCATCACACAGGCTTTTCTGTGATGCAGTTCATAGAGATCATGAACTCAGAGCAAAAGGAAATAGTGATGAAGTGGTAGGGTGGTGCATAAATTTTGTTCTGCATCCCTCTGGTAAAATTTGCCATTCAAAGACAAAAGCCTCTGCATGGGAGAATTGCTACTAAGCCAGGACTCTCAAAGTGTGGTTTTCTTGTAGGATCCCCAAGGATATTTCATTTTTAATTTCAGAGAGCCAATAGTCATTAACTGTGATTGTGGTTTTGGCTTCTCTGCTCATTCCCACATTCAGTTTCAGATCTGAGTCTGTTTTGAAGCCTGGAAACATGCCTCTGCAAACAGAAAACCAAAGCTCTTAAAAACTTGGAAATCTTGTATGGGAATTGCCTGTTTTGAAGAAATGCTTGTGATTGAGTCATTAACAGTCCATGGCAGTTCATGTGTGTGCACATGCCATTTCACAGTGCTGTCTCCTCTTGTGCTTACAGTGTTCCCTACCAAGCCCGACAGCAGGATTGGGCATATTTAACCTACATCTTCCATTTTTTCCTGTATAAAGCAAGCAGTGCAAAACCATGATATGCTGCATGCATTTAAAAGTATCAGCACTGCACTAAGATGTAAACTTTGAAAACCAACTTTGTATATTTCTAGCTCTGAATAGATCCTTCTCTCAGGCAATTTAAAAATGAATGGAAAAAAATTAGCACCCAAAACTGCTGTGTTGCATTGCAAATGAGTCTGAGACCTGCATTGGTTGTTGGTGCAAGCTGAATTGCTGGACAACTTTCTGATTCTTGAGCTGCCACAAGCTGTCACATGTACATGCTTCATGCAGACAATCCTGTAAAAGAATCAGCAGGAGCACCTTCTGAGTTTTCCTCTTCTAGTCTGAGGCCACTACCTCACCTCTGCTGAGTGCACAGAGCTCACTGAGGAGAGCTAGTTCCCTGTCCTAATGCAGTCTCAGAGCTTCTGGCTTCCTTTCTGGATTCTGGTGATCTTTTGCAAAATTGTGCATGTGTAGTATTGGAAATAGCAGCGTGCTGAAATTAGCAACAAAACAAGAAGCTAAAAAAAGCTTGTCAAACTCAGAGACAGTTGGTTCCTTTCCCTCGAGGTGATACATTATTCATAATGCTGTACAGGATTGAGGGTGCCAGTGACAGGAGAGGCTATGGATGAATTAAAGATGCTGAGTGTGCAGTAGACTCAACAAGTAGGAGTTGATTGGCTTCTGCTACTGTCAATAATTCCATCATC